TCGTCGAGATTCGAAAGAACCCTCTCAAGGTCACAGAAGGCTCTGATATCATGTCAAGAACCAATTGGTCTCAATAACGCGAGTCGAGTTATTGGGAGGAATTCAATGATAAGTCATTTATCACTTTGACAACAATACGATAGGTAAGTTGACGACTTGGCCATTTTTCATCCCTTCTTCTGTCACTTTTCCCATCCTGCCTACTTTGGTTTGTCAATCACCATTGGGCTATCAGTCAGCCTAGCAAGCTAGTTATAGTAAATTGTGTTGGAACCACCATTGATAGTAGATGAACCCATACAGAAGCCGAGCCAATGAGAGGTTCTATTCTATGTACACAAATCCAGATTATATAGACTGTAGACATACGTAAAAAGTTAAGCATCTAGCCCCTTTTGCTTTTAAGGCTTAAGTATATATAGATTGACATTTTCTCATAACATTGTGGCGCCTTACCAGTTTGTCGGAGAAGACCTTAGAACTCTTATATAGTCACCATTATTGGCGACCAACAAGTTGATAATATTATGGAACGACAATGTTGCCGGGACAAGTACCAGAGAAGCAGTATGAGAGGGATCGATCGATATGGATGTACAAATTTTTGCAGTGTAGCTTTGGTGTCTGCAGCTGGCTGTTAAGTGGTGATGGGCCTAAAGAAACTGATGCATGGCATGATATGGTCTTGTATGTACATTTATTGTAAGCTGCAACAGCTACCATTGAGAAAAAAGAGGTAGAACAAGCTAGCTAGGTAAGCGACTGCATGGGCAAAATTTATTACCTTAAAGCTTGCTCACATCAGAGACCCAAAAAACTACTACGCCTTCATTTCTCTTCAGTTTCACTTGGGTTTTAAATGCTGAAGTAGGTTAGGTACATATATGCATACAAAGATTGCATGATTGGATTGCAGTTTCTTAATGAGAAGGTAAAACCAACTGTTTTCACCTTTTTCTTGTTGGTCAACTCCTTGATGGAAGTTGTGTATATGTATCAATAATGAAACTATTGCTCTTAAATAAGCATCTTAAATTCAACACTATATTATTGCAAAAAAAAAAAAAACAAACAAAACAAGATCCATATAATTTTCAAAATATGATATGATTTGAATTGAATATGGATATCATACGGCATAAAAATATAATCTACAAAAGGTTCAACATTATGTTTGTCAAATAAGGATGCAAAGTCGAGTTGTGACTGTTAGATGTGAAAATTGTATGAAAGTGTAAATTGTAGGGGTATAAAAGGAAGGAAAATTTTATATGGAAAGAAAAAGTAGGAGTACAAAAAAATATTAAATAAAAACATAGAATTACAAAAAAAAAATACATGAAATACTCTCATACATAAAAAAAATATTAAATAATAGAATAATAATTCTTAAATAATACTCATAAAAAATAATAAATATGCATCAATAAAATTAATTATCAAGCCAATAAGGATCATATAGTAATTAATTATCTACATATTTTCAACTCATGTCACCGACCCTCGCATTGATTTGGCAACATGATTGTTAAATTGGGGTAAAGCCGACATATCTAATCGGGAATTGATCATAGCTGGTCATCCTACTGGGTCATCAAGCACACTCTACCTTATTTCACACACTTTCTCTCTCTACTTTTCAACGCAAATGGAACTCTATCAAGAGATCTTGATTCGAGTAGACAAATCTCGACCCACTTATTTGACTGGGTCAACAATCAATTAATTTTTCAAACTTTCTCACCAGAATCAAACGATGTACTCTAGAGTCAACGTAAACATTAATAATAATTATAATTATTATTTAATAATTATAATATGTATTTTTATTGTCATAAAATAATTTTTTTTTATTATAATGTCATGATTACATGCCATTTATTATAATGTCATCATTCACCTCTTCACTAAACCCAACCGGAGCAAATCTGCTTCCTTCTCATATGTCCCTTTTTCATCCTTTTGACAAGTTAAGGTTACTTTTTCTATTTTCTAATTTCCAAATTTTCGTAGTTGGGTCATATCTCTTTCCTCTTAATTTGGAATTTAAAACACTTTGTATGGAAAGAAAGTATCAATTATGATCTATACAATGATATTCATTTTGCTATATTTTGAGAGAGAAAAAATTATCCGTTCAAAACAAATGTTTGTTGTAATCTTATCAATATGATAATATCATGATATTACTATGATCATGATATTATAATGGTATAATAGCATCAACACTTTTTGCTCAAAGATAAGACATGATAAATTTTGCTACTGTCATTCAACGATCTTACCACTATGGTAAGACTGCACAACATCATCATATCATTGTCATATTGTGTTATTACCAATATTGTAATATCATAATATGATAGAGGTAATCTGACGTGAAATTTTATTTTTAAACAATTAATCAATTATAAAAATGTAATATCCTGATATCACAATGGTATATAATAGCGTGAATTTTTTTTTATTAAAATTATCAAATTGGATGTAACCTTGTGCACGATGACACTATCACTCCTATTCTTGATACATTTTCCCCTTCTATGAAAGCATCTTTGGTCATTTCAATATTATTTCTTATCTAAATGACAACTATTTGATCAATGAGCCTTTAATGGACCTATGTTATGCTTTGTATTCTTTGATTCCTTCTGGGTATGTTTTTGTTAGTTTTGAAGGTACAAAGTAACCTAAGTAAATTTGGACCAAGTAAACTCTAGAGGACCAGATGAGTTATAAAGAGAAGAATATGAAGTCTTCATGAGAAAGATGAGGTCCAATGATGAATAATTCAACTAGAAGTGGCTTAATGCACTTAAGATGAGCCCATAGGAGGAAGACTCAACGCAAACTGATGAAGAAACCAGTGTCGGCCCAACAACGAGTCCAACCGCCGTAAGGAGGATTAGCCAAAGTTGCACCCAATTCATGAGAACTCATTCATGGGTCAACGAAGCCCAACCCAAGAAGAAAATGAGCGTCGGCCCCGATCGCTGCTATATCGTAGCCAAATAGACCTCGACAAAGCTTCCTCAGCAAGCTACTTCGCCCAGAAGTTGATGATAACTGACTTCAAGTAGGATAAAGAACGATTTGCGGGCTTCAAGAGAAAACTTTTCATTGTGCCTCTTCTCTATTGTTCTACTAATAGGTGCTTAGACTTCAGTTAGAAGGTACATTTTACAACTAAGAACTGCTAAAGCTTTGTCAGAATAAGGAGAGAATGACTCCTTTTTTTTGTCTATTCCCTCTCATTCTTGCATGTGTAGGTAATTCTTTATTGTTTGGGATGTCGATTCAATGATGTGATGTTCTAGTTCTATGATTTAATGAGATTCCCTAAAGCATAGATGGTCCATCTTGGAGCAACAATGGCTTAGTTCTTTGTATGCTTATTATCCTATTATGGTGCATTACTATGTGTGTTGATTATACTATTACTATGAGAGATAAGGAAACTAATCTCATGTAGTAAGCATCATCGTTAGGTGTGCACTAGGGGGAAGTACAACTTTCTAATATTCGAATAATGATGATGCTCGATAACCAAAGATCCTCAATATCGTAGACCATCATTATGGTTAGTAGAAGCCCACAATTAACATTGTGATATCCTCACTTCCTTGTTCTTCATTAATTAGTTGGTGGCATGAAGGGAAAGCACACTTTAGCTAGTTAAATTCCTATTGTAAGAAGCGCATGCACGGTAGGGAATGACCTTAGTGGAACGTATAGAATGTCAACATATCGTTGATGCATATAGGTGTCTTATTAAGGAGGAAGTATGCATGCTCATCTAGATGATACTTACTAAACAACATGTTCCTTACTCGATTAATCTCTCTTTGTTTTTGTGTTTATGTTTGTTATTAATCACTCGAATCATAGAGGGAAGCTCAATCTATCTATTTTACTTTCTGTCATCTCATTCTATCATCTGAACATATAGTTTTGAGCATCTACCATCAAAAGACCTCATGGAATATGACCCTAGGCACATCCAAGATTATTACTTGTGTTTTCCACATAAGTGCACACAAAAAATTGATTTTTCTATGCAATTTTTTTAGTTCAAGTTAAAAAGAATGAGATATTGTCGATTCCAAATTTGGAGAAAATGAAAATAAATTATTAATTATCCACGTTGGAAATCTGAACCAACCATAGTAAATAAGATTTCCTCTATCATTAATGCGATTTGATGGAGTTCAGTTTTGAATATAATAAGGATATATACTAACAATTATTGTAATTTGTTTGGTTTATATTTAGTAGGTAACTCTTTGTAAAAGACATGTTTTGGTTTCGTTGAAACAGTTACATCTATTAATGTAAAACTATAGCTAAAAAATGAACCCTGAGTCATCCTAATACAATGAAGCGGAATTCTTAAGGTAGGAATTCTATAAAAAAAAAACTCATACTAACACCTACAACTATACTACCAGTCCTCTCTATTTACATAGTATCAATGTGTAGTTCTATAGTATCTAATTCTCATTGTCATTGTGTATATAAGGATCCAAACCATTTCAAATCCGAGAGAAAATATTCCCAACCAA